GGTGAGGGGGCCTGGGGGGCCGGTGAGGGGGCTGTGTCTGCTGCTGTGGAGCAGTCAGGCAGGGTGCTGCTGGAATTCTTGAGCTTCAGTTTTATTTTGTTGTCCCTTGAGCAGCCACATTTGCCTGGGGGGCTGGGGAGGGGGCTGTGTCTGCTGCTGTGGAGCAGTCAGGCAGGGTGCTGCTGGAATTCTTGAGCTTCAGTTTTATTTTGTTGTCCCTTGAGCAGCCACATTTTGCAAGAGGGTCTTGCCAAAACCTGCAGCTGTGTTCCTGTTCCTGGGAGTGTAGCTCCTCAGGAGGTGCAGGAAGCTGATGCTGGCTGGAATAAGATGATGTCTTTGTTACCATGGGTGTTTTGTTATCTTAATGAAAGTTAAATATTGTGAATAAAATAACACTCTCCTCTTTTCCAGGAGTCGAGTGGGTAGTGAAGCAATCACCTGAGAAATGGCTGCACACCTCAGAGTGGTGAGTTGGGCCTGGGATGGTGCCCTGTGGAGGTTTCTCTTCCAGGAACATTTTCTCACAGACCCTTCTTATGAACATGACTAGAGGAGACATGACCCCCTCTCTGCCTCAGTACCTCCTCCAGAGGTGCTGCTGGGGGAAATGTGATGTACTGAGGAATAGTTTGCTGCTGTTACTGTTCCCAGGGGACCCAGAGATGCTCCAGCCCCCCAGGAACACCAGGGGCTTTCTCCCTGCTGCCAGATCAATTGGTCTGTAGATTTAGTTACTCTGGGAGCATTTCTGCCTGCCTTATCATGTTCTTCCATGTTGTGGTGCAGAGAGGGGCCCAGAGATCTGCTGGACAGTTGTACTCTTGTGCAGGAGGTGAGGACAGGGGATGAGTCACATTTTGCTCAGCTCAGGGAGGTGATTGGACTTTACTCTTAGGAGTACAGTTTATTAAGCTGTTCTGTTGTATTTTCCAGGGCTCTTATTTATAGAGCAATTTCTCATGAATCCATAATAAATTCATAATAGACCAGGACACCTCAGGCAGTTGGGAAACAATGAAACAAAAAAGAAACATAGTGCAGCATGGTAGTAGAGGGCATGAACAAGCTGTGATACCTTCACAGCACTAGAGTCATTCCTAGCCTAAAACCCAGGTAATCATGCATGGCCTGGCTCTCCACCTGCAGCCCAGCCAGCCAGGTGCAGTTACACTGATCCTGGCCACTGAGTTGGATCGTTCGGTGCTTTCCTGAGAGGTGTGTGAACCAGACTGTGCTCTGTGTCGTGAAGATGATTTAAATAGTCTGCTCCCCATCCATCAGCGGCTGGGACGCTGCAGAGACCCACGGGCTCTGCTCTGTGCTGGGAGAACGTGTCCCTGGCGCCCCGAGGCAGGCAGAGGGCGACGTTCTGCCGCCGTGAAACTCGGGCCCGGGTTTGCTGGAGGACACGCTGGAATGAGGAAGGGTACAGGAGGAAGGCAAGGGAAAAGGTGGGTAGAACCTCAGGAGAAGCTGGAAGGGAGAGATCCCCTCAGCGGGGAGAGGACCCTGACAGAGGGAGGGATGTGGTGGAGCTCAGGGGCTCGGGAGGCTGGTGAGTAAAGCAAATTCAAACCTCTTCTAGCTGGGGGAGTGACCTGCAGAGTCCTTAGGCTCACATGTTCTTTCTGTATCTGTTCCCTTGCAGCTCTCAAAGCCAAACAGAGCAGTGGGCAGAACCATTAGAACTTAGTTACTTATTTTAATGAGACTGTACTTTGTCTGCCCCATTCTAGAGGGCTGGTTGTGCTTCACTGTAACTGAGCAGCTGCAGAGAGCTCTCATTCCTTCTGTGGATAACTGACACTTTGCAGTAGAACCTTTTTGTAAGGATGTAGATCTTAAAAACTTCCCAACAATGATCTTTGTGTGGTTTCACTGGGTTAAAATAGCCTTCAGTATAAGTGCAGAGGTGGGGTTTGTGCAGCAACAATAAGGAGCAAATCTGTTTCCAAGCAGGACAGAACATTCTTTGTACAAGAGCTTCCTCAGACTTGTTGCTTGTAGGTTCTGTGTTGGCAGTAACATCTTCAGGCTCAGGCCAGTTAGATGAGTGCCCAGACTGGAATCTGTTAATTAGTGACTCTAACCATTGATTTTATAAAGCTTTAAAGGCCAGTGGAATTCTGGGTTGCATAAGGAAGAGTGTAGCCAGTAGGTCAAGAGAGCTCATCCTGCCCCTCTGCTCTGCCCTGGGGAGGCCACAGCTGGAGAACTGGGTCCAGTTCTGGGCTCCCCAGTTCAAGAGAGACAGGAAACTAGTGGTGAGAGTCCAGGGGAGGGCAACAAAGGTGACTGGGGGGTTGAAGCATCTCCCTGATGAGGAAAGGCTGAGGGAGCTGGGAATGTTCAGCCTGGAGAGGAGAAGGCTGAGGGGAGACCTTATTAATGCCTCCAAGTATCTGAGGGTGGGTGCAGGGAGGATGGAGCCAGACTCTGCTCAGCAGTGCCCAGGGACAGGATGAGGGGCAATGGGCACAAGCTGGAACATGGGAAGTGCCACTGAAATATGAGGAAAAACTTCTTTCCTGTGAGGGTGACAGAGCCCTGGGACAGGCTGCCCAGGGGGCTATGGAGTCCCCTTCTCTGGAGACATTCAAACGCCCTGGATGCAGCCCTGAGTGATGTGCTTCAGGGGATCCTGCTTTAGCAGGGAGGTTGGACTGGATGATCTCTAGAGGTCCCTTCCAGCTCTGACAATTCTGTGATTCTGTGAAAAGAGAAAGGAGCTAATGGGTAACTAAGGACAAGCTGTGCCTTTACCTGACTGCTCCCTTGGCTTGGGGAAGCTGAAGCCTCACGTGCTCTGGAAATGGTTTTGTCCTTGCTAATGGTGACAGTTTTAGTGTCCTGAATTATCTGTGCCATGTGGCTGGAGCAGATCCTGTTTGCTTTACCATCAGGGCAGAGTTTTTCAGAGCCTGTCCCCTTTTCCTCCCCTGCTACATGAACCACTTGGTCATGAGGCAGAGTCCTGCCAAATACATGCTGGTGTTTGGGCCCTGGGGACCTTTAGCAGGTCCCAACCTTTCAGCTACTTTGATGTCACAGGCACATTGAAGGGTCTCTTGACATCTGAACGTAGGCTCCCCCAGTTAAACTAACTACTGAGTCCTTGTGCAAAAAGCCAGCACATTCAGATCTCGGGGAGCTGAGATCAGTTTCCTTGTGCAGGTTGGTGTGTGGCTGCTTGCTGAGCTGCCCCCTCCCTGTCTCTGCAGGCTGGAAGGAGATGTGCAGTGATCGGCGGGTCAGGGTTCTTGGGCCAGCACATGGTGGAGCAGCTCCTGGAGAAGGGTTACGTGGTCAACGTGTTTGATATTCAGAAGAGATTTGACAGTGACCAAGTGCAGTTCTTCCTGGGAGACCTTTGTGACAAAGAGGTACAGCCTAGCAGCACATGGCACGGGTGGATGGAAGGGTGGCTGTTTAAGGAAATGTTCCTCTCAGCAGCTCATCCAGCCTTGCTCAAGGTGCTCACACACCTGAGGGCATTGCCCAGCTTTAAAGGGTATGCAGATGTGCCCCTCAACCCTCCCTGTGAGGTCAGCAGCTGCAGCAGTTTCCATCTAGAACACTTAAAGAAATGCACTTGTATCTGAAGCTGGAAGGATCTGGTTTCTGTGCAGTGCTGTCAGCTCAGCCCTGCAGCCTGGGGACAACCACCCTTGGGAGCTGGGGGTGGGTGCTGTCCTGGGGACCCTCAGGAGAAGGCCAGAACACCTCACTTCTCTCAGCCAGGCACACCAGGACCTCTGGCCTTACCTCAGCCATGTGTATGAGCCTGGGCAAAACATTTGTATGTCATGTGAGGAGATGTCTCCCCACCAGCTCAAGTATCATGTCTCAGAGCTTTGTGACAGTCCTCCCAACCCCAGGCAGTGCCATGGGGCACTGCTGGCTGCTCACCCTGCTGCTGGCTGAGCTTGCTAATTCCTATTTCCAGGTAATTTTGAGTCTCATACCTGCACTTGAGACTATTTCAACTAGTTAAGTCTGGATAGCCTCCAGGTCTCTAAAAGTTCCCAGGTTCTTCTCTGGAAGGAAAAGATGATGTTGTGCTTTTTGCCTAGCAAGGAGAGGAATGTTGTGAGGATATTAGGAAGAAATTCTTCACCCTGAGAGGGGGAAGACACTGGAACAGGTTGCCCAGGGAAGCTGTGGCTGCCCCATCCCTGGAGGTGTTCAATACCGGGCTGGATGAGGCTTGTGCAGCCTGGTCTGGTGGGAGGTGCCCCTGCCCATGCAGGGGGTTGGAACCTGGTGATCTTTAGGGTCTCTTCCAACCTTCACCATTCTATGATTCTAAGATCCTGGGACACTAATGCTATTCCAGCTGCTCACCTTTAGGGAAGGAATGTGCCTTGAAATTTAACAGTTTTGTTTCTATGAGAGGAAGAATTGTGTTTTATCTTTTTTCACCTGAGCAGGCAGGATAATTCACTGCTGTCTCTTGTGCTGTACCTCCCAGGCCTTGCTCCCAGCTTTACAAGGGGTGTCAGTGGTATTTCACTGTGCATCACCAGCACCTTCAAGTGACAACAGGGAACTGTTTTACAAGGTGAATTTTATGGGAACCAAAGCAGTCATTGAAGCCTGCAAAGAAGCTGGAGTGCAGGTAAGGGTGGAAAAGCATATGAGGACCCTAAGAAGCTGATGTGACTTTATAACAATTGCAGCCTGGACCGATCTCAGCCTTGTTTGATAGAGAATACTGAATTCCTACCTGTTCTGTGGAAATTGGTAGAAAAGAGAGACTCTGTTGCTCTCCCCCTTGGTGTCTGGTGTGAGCTCCATGCTTGCCACAGAAAACAGGCACGTTGCAGTTTTCCTGCCTGCAGGAAAAGCATCCATTAAAATCTGTCCTTCTAGATATCTGGGAATCGCTGACGGGAGAACCACGACTGGCAAGTGGAGTCTTCATGCTTTAATAAGGGACAGCTCTAAAGGGAGCTTTTCCAGCATTCCTGGCAGCAATTACCCATGTGAATTCCTTGCCACATAATGAGAAGGAACACACTTGTGCCATAAACTCAGTATAATTTGGTTTAGAAAGTTGTTTGCTCACGAAAGAAAGAGCCAGAGGAAACCAGGCTGCTGTTCAGGCAAGATTGTGTTGTGGCTTTTAATCCTTATGTTAGTTTGATACCACATGAGTTAACCTTTAAGTTCTCAGCATATTTTCAAGCACAGTGCCTGTGAAGGTCCCTCACTTATCCTGGATAGAGATTTTTGCCTCCAAAAGCTGCATTTTCTGCCATGTCCACATATCGATACAGAAGGGATAATATTTAGAATTAAATAATATCCACCAGATAGGACTCCCAGCCCCACAGTTTGCTATTTATTGGTTGTTTTTCCCCTTCTTATGGAATAAGCTGTTGTAGGAAATGGGCCATAGGGTGTTTACCTTCAGGCTTAGTCTGGGTTCTGTCAGAGCAACGAGTCAAGTCTTGTTGGGACTTGCTGGATCTACTCATCTTTCTACTACAGTGTCAATCTTGTTTACAACCACTTTGCTGATTACTCCAATACATCTCTGTCTTCCTGTTTTGAACCCACTAGGGTACATTTCTATCCAACAAAAACACCCAAGATAAGTCTCTGTCTTCCTGTTTTGAACCCACTAGGGTGCATTTCTATCCAACAAAAACACCCAAGATAAATTCTTTTCTGGTTTAGTCTGCCACGATATTGTTATGATCCAGATGAGCAAATATATCTTAAAACACTTGCTGTGTGTGAAGTGCTACAGTGTGCTGAGCCAAGTGGGCATTCTTGATTTTCCTGGAGGTGCTTTCCCCTTGACTGGCTGCCTTAGGTGTTTGCTGAAATGTTTTAATCTTCTTTAGGTAGCACTGAACAATGTGGCAGAGTCAATTAAGAGAGTGGGAGTTTCCTCACCTGCAGTTTCAGATAAGGTTCTGTTAGCCCATGTTCTTCCAGACTTAGTTTGTTATCTGTAGAATCAGTGGATTAAACATTATTATTATCATCTTTATTCAGCCTTCGTAAATAATGACTCTTTTGTCTTAGGCTTTAAACAACTGTTTTCTCTCCCATCCATTGCAGAAGCTGGTGTTAACTAGCAGTGCCAGTGTGGTTTTTGAGGGCACAGACATAAAAAATGGATCCGAAGACCTCCCGTATGCAAAAAACCCGATCGACTATTACACAGAGACAAAGATCCTGCAGGAGAAGGTGTGTGTCATCAGATGCTGAACACTCTTGTTTTCCATGCTTAAAACTGCCCTTCCCAAAGTAGGGCATGCCCTAAGGGACACACCAGGCTCTTCAAGACTGAACAGATCTCTCTTGTTCTCCAGAATCTCGGTCATTAAAAGAAGTCTCTTCTCCTCACAGCTGCAGGGAAGTCTGTGCAGCATCCTGCATGTGCAGCAGTGCCTGCCAGACTTCTTGGAGTGTGACTCAAATGGGAAATTCCCTTTTAGCCCTCTTGCTCCCAGCACGGATGCTCAGGAGCTACGGATTCATTGGTCTGTCACAGAGAAGTTTGGCAGGTGACTGCTCCTTGTGCCTCCCACAAATGACCTGGGCATGTAGATGGGCTGCTCCAGGGGCTGCTTTCCTGGCAGATCTCTGGAATCTAAATCCATCAACACTCAGTTCTGTCTCCCTCGGCTAGGGAAACTCCCAAGTGGTGCATTGACTTCATGAAAAGGGAATAAAGTGTGTGGTGTTAAACTAGAGGGGCAAAGAGTTCCCTTCCTTTGCCTGTCAATCCATCAAGTGTTCAACAAGGAAATCAGATTTTTGTCTGTTTCTCTCTTTAAAGAGAAGTGGGAGAAGGGACGAGAACAGAGGGTTTGTAAAGATAAGGGTGGAGAGGAGCTTTTCCACTGGTGTCTTCCCTCTTCTGTGATGATCCTGGATTATATCTCTAAGCCATATTTTCCTTCCCAGGCTTTCTCTTCTGATCTGGGTGGTTTTTTTCCCCTCCAGGAGGTGCTCAGGGCGAATGACCCAGACAACAACTTTTTCACTACTGCTATTCGTCCCCATGGAATCTTTGGTCCCAGGGACCCTCAGCTCGTTCCCATCCTCATCCAAGCAGCCAAGAGTGGCAAAATGAAGTTCATCATTGGGTGAGCAAGTCATTTTACAGCTTTTGTTGAAACTGAGGTTGAACCTACAAAGCCTTTTTGAAGGGAATAATATTAAATCAGCAGTGGTGTCATGGCATGCAGAGAATGTTTCTTTAATTTTTCACTTGTCATCCAGGATTCTTTTTAAGAAAATGCTGCAGTGTTAGGGACTCGTGCACTGAGATGGTGAATGTTCATGATGCAAAACAAATATCAGTGGGGAAAGCTGACCTAGCTTGAGATGTCCTTGCATTGTCTAAAGAGCTGTCTTGTTAAGTATGAGAGAGCTCATATTATTTGCTGTTAATTTAATTAAGATACACTTCTGGTATTTGAGGTTCTTGCCATTAAAAGGCCTTTCTGGCAGGGTATTTACCATTATAAGATCAAAGGCTTGTTATTGAGCCTTGCAGAGCTTCTGGTGGGCCACTGACATTTCAGAGCAAGGAATATTTCAAGCAACTACTGAGGATCTATGTCTTGATTGTATTATGCTGTTTGTGTGCACATGTGCACGTGTGGAGATGTGCTTGGGAAGGAAGGGAATAGGGCTGTGGGGTTTTTTGGGGTTAGGGGATTTTTGTTCTCCCTTTCAGTTCACTTCTGAACTGAACTCCCAAACTGCTCTGTGAGCAGCAAACCTGCAGAGACTCCAGGTTTCTGCTCTGTGCAAGTCTGCATTCTCCAGCTATAACACAAGCTCCTCACTTGATTTTTCCTCCTGCTGTGCAGAGCTGTACATCCCTTCCAAAAGCACAACTAAAACAGCCTCAGGGAAGGAAAGTGTTGCTTTCTGAGGATGCTGGGCTGCAGCAATATTCTTATGGCCAGAGGAGTGTGGTGATGCTGCTGTTTGATTGAGGTGCACTCTTGGAAGTGAGATGTGGATTCATATTCATTTTTTGCACCCACGTGCAGATTTCACACAGTGGCTTAAATGTAACACAGTGGGTTAAATCTGTTGCAGCTCAGGCTGGCATTGGCTTTTGGAGAGACTAAGTTAGAATTTCATGAGCTGAGATATCCATAATTGAAAGCTTGTCCTGAAGTGACTTTCCTTGTGCTAGTTACCACTGGGTGTTTGTTCTGCTTTAGAGGATCGTTCTGCTGATTCTAAGACTTGTAGGATTTGCTACACCTGGGAACTTGGGAACTCATGAGGTTTAAAAATGATATTAGAGGGATGTAAATTTGGAGGGCCTTGACAAGAGCTGAGACAGTAACAGCCTTTCCTCTGTCTCCAAAATAATGTGCAGTGATTTAATTTCTCTGACAGGGTCTAGCCTGAAGTTGCAGCACAAGAGAGCAGGAAAAGAGGAAACCTGGAACAAATATAACTTGTGTGAAAGTCCATACTTTTGCCCCAAGCAGATTTTTCAACCTAACTTGCCCTGGGGCTAAACTACTTCCTTTTGTCTGTGCAGGGATGGAAAGAACTTGGTGGATTTCACCTATGTGGAAAACGTGGTTCATGGACACATCCTGGCTGCAGAACATCTTCAGAAAGACTCTCCCCTGTGTGGGAAGGTAAGGAAGGACCTGGGAAGGGAGGGGAGTGGGTGTCCCCTGGCTGAATGTCATCTGCAAGTCTTGCTTGACCCTGGAGCTCATCCTGACTTTTGTCTGTACTTATTATCCCTCTTGGAGAGGAGTGGAACTCGCATACAAAAGGGGGCGTTTTTTTTCTGCCTGTGGGTCTAATGAAGGGTTGCCCATCTGGTGGCCACTGTGCAACCACATGGGCTCTGATGTATGAACACACTTCAACTTCGTGCTATAAAACTCCTTGTGAAAGCAAATCCAGGCAGAGTTGTGGGCAGCCAAGAGGCATGCATAAGAAACAGGGTTATTTGGCTTCTACAATGCAGTTGAGAACAGGAGAAGCTTTTGTGGATTCCCCTGGCACTGCTGTACACACCCTGCACAGACAGCTGGGCTGCTTTCACCTGCCCCTGCTGTGTCATTCCATCTGTCTGACCATTTAGGAGTGACCTTCAGCTCTGCAGTGTCAGAAGTCACTGCCTTGCTCAGCAAAGGGGTTCCTCACTGTTCAGCCAGAGGTGGCTGGTGCGTGGCAGCTTCTCATGCAAGTATGTTCCCAGTCAAGTCAGGGGGTCAGTCTCCTCAGCGTGGGCCATCACAGAGACCAGTTAGTGAAAGCCACAGTGATCTTATCATCTACCTTTTTGTCTTCCTCTCTTTCAGGCATTTCATATCACAAATGATGAACCAATTCCTTTCTGGGCTTTCATGTCCCGTATCTTAACCGGACTGAACTACGACCCTCCCAAGTACCACATTCCCTACTGGCTAGCATATTACCTGGCCCTGTTCCTGTCCCTGCTGCTGTGGCTGCTGAGCCCTGTGGTCACCATCAAGCCCACTTTCACCCCCATGAGGGTAGCATTGGCTGGAACCTTTCACTACTATAGCTGTGAGCGGGCCAAGAGAGACATGGGCTACAGCCCAGTGGTCAGCTTGGATGAAGCCATAGAGAGGACTCTGCAGAGCTACCCCCACCTGCGCCGGGCCAAGGCCTGACAAGTCCTTGATGGATTTTATGGTTTTGCCACTTGATTTCCATAATTGCTTTGATTTGACATCTTAGCATGAACACTGAAGCAAACCTCACTGATTCTCTGGGACAGGGAGTTTTCCCCAAGCCCTTCCTCCTCCTCGCCGTTTTCACGGTGGCTTGAGAAGAGCTCGTGCAGGAGCTGTGCCAGCAGTCCTGTTCTTTGATGTGACTCCTGGTTTTGAAACAGCTGCTGAAACCTGTGGACTATGAATAAACACCCTGCTGTGCCCTCTTCAATCCCAGCACATCAGCATTCCTCGGGCTTCTCCCTCCACCCTTGTCCTCTGTTTTGTTGCTCTGGTGATAACAGACACCCCTGCTCTGAGCTGCAGCCTGGCTCATGCAACACTGCTCAGGGCTGGCTCCTCTCTGGGGCTGGGCTTTTTTCTATACAAGAGCAATGAAGGAGAGACTCATGCCAAGGAGGAGTTCTGCCCCCATCTCTGAAACCATTGCAGCTTGTTTTGTTACTCCTTCCATGACTGGTGGGTGATTTGGTTTCTTCCTGAGGCAGCAGAAGGAAACCCAAGGCAAGCTCGGCCTCTCTGTAGGGAAGCACATGCCTGTGTTTCTGCAGAACCCTATTTCTTTTCAAAAAAACCAAATAAATCAAGATGACTTCCTAATTTTGTGTCCCATCTTTGAGAGGGCAGCTCCCATTCTGACCATCTCAGCAGAAGGAGGCCTTTAGTTGTTCCCAGTGTGTGGGGAGAGCTCTGTGCCTGCTGTCAGTCAGCACGGGCTGCTTTCCCATCACTCACTTCCCATAAGAACTGCATTGCCTGGAAGATCCCACTGCATCAGCTCTTGTCTTGTCTGACATGTTATTTCTGGTCATGGTGATTTTTTTTTGTTGCTTTGACCACTTATTACAGGGGAAAAAAGCCCCTCTTTTCCACAAGAAAATTGTGATCATAATAGTGTGTTCACTGCGCTGCTTAGTTTGACATTTGGATTGTGTGCTTTACCCTATAATCTTCCTAAGTGCTTCAGTCCTCTTTTGTTTTTAAATGAAGAGTTTAGGGCAGAGTTGGACCTTCCCACTGTGCCAGTTCCTGACTCCTCAGGAGTTTTTAGTGGTTTAGATTTCAGCAGTATGGGAATTGCCTCCTGGAATGAGCCTTAACCTCATCTGGGAGCCTGATGTGCTGCTCAAACCCTCTAGAAACCAGTTTTATTTTAACTGGGGCTGTTTTCTGGAGAGTTTTACATTGGGCTTTTTTTGGAAATGCTTCTTTGCTGTTTAACACCAGCTGGTTTCACCAGCCTTTGCTTGCTTGATCTTGAAGTAAATCATAAAAACAAGCCAGGTGCTTGGACCAGTTCACACAGTTCTGGTTTGCACTGGTCAGTCACCTTGGCCCTTTGTTTTCCTCCAGCCTGTAGGGTTAAATATCCAAAGGCTGAATTCTGGAGTGCAGTTCTTCTGCAGAGTGTTGTTTAAGAAGCCCTGTGCTTCCTATTTTTTCTGGAATCTATTTGTTTCATCCCACATCCCATTTCAGTGGGAGCCAGATCCTGTGTTCAAGGAGCTGAGCTGTGTTGCCCTCAGTTGGATGCATCAAGGTGCTGGCACAAATGCAGTGTTCATGGAAAGACCCTTCCCTTTCTTTAAGTGTGTACCAGTGCCCCATCCATGTACAAAGAATAAATGGTGACACATCAAAAGAAGACCCATGGTGGAGCCAAGCATGGCTTGATTCCCAAGGTTTTGGAACTCCGGGTGCAGCACAGCAGAGCTGGGCCAGGGGTGACACTGCCCTGACAGAGGTGCTGAGAGAAGAGGATGGAACTGGAGTCAAAGCAGCAGGCCCTACCAGCGCTTGGAGTCACAAAAAGCAGGTAAAAGCACATTCCTGCCTCTAGATGGCTTTTCCCAGCTAGAGCTGCCCCTGCTGCTTCAATCGGCCCCGAAAATGCTGTCTCTGTCCTTGGACACGGTTCCAGTGGAGGGTTACTCATCTCCCCGTGTCTTTGGAGGACTGTCAAGGTAAGAGGTGAAGGTGTCGACCAGAAGGTGCTACAGAAACACGAGGTACTGGAAGTTCAAGTCTGCTGAGGAGGAGCAGGCAGGATGGTTTCCCTCACGTGCCTGGTTAATGCAGGCAGGGTAAGGCAGAAGTTTGCTGGGGTGGGGGATGAGCAGTTTCCCAGAGCTGGGCATGGAGAGAAGCATTGCACCATGCTGGAGCTGGTTTGCTGTGGTACTCCCTCTATAATTAGGTCAGCTCCCAGTGTTTCTTCTGGCAGGCTGACAAGCTTCTGTTCTCCACACCAGCAGTAAACAGGCATTGTTGCTGTGCAGGAGCCTGACCTTGCTGTGCCACAGCAGAAGAACCTTGCTTTGTCCACAGCCTCTTCTGGCCCCGACCAAGCCTCCTCCTCTCAACTCCTTTTCTCATCCATCTTGTGTTTTCTGGGCAAGCCAGTGAGGTCCTTCTGTGCTTCCCTGCCTGGGATTGATTTGTCACCTCTTCCCAGCCTGTCTGGTGTGTCAGCAAGCAGGAGCAAAGCAAACTGGCTATCATCAACATTTCCTTCCACATATCTAGGGTCAAATGCAGGTGCAGTTTCTTCTTCTTAGCGATGCTTAAGCAGGAGCTGCGGAAGACTTCAAAGTCTGCCCCATAGCATTCAGGCTTCTTATCTCTCTCACTTTGCTTCCCTGGCTTTTTCTTGCTCCTAATTTTGCTGACCCGAGACAGATTTTGGTTTGCCAAGGAGTGGGTGAGATAAAGGAGGGAAAGAGGAAGAAGAGTGAAAGTGCTTTTCTAGGTAGAGTGATCACCAAGCTCTGGTGTGACTTTCCACAGCTCTTAGCTGTGCAGAGCCAAGCATGGCAGGAGTGTGCTGGACTCTGCTCCTTGGGAGCTCTGTGTCCTGGGTTTCACTGCTGCTTGTGCAAGCCTTTGGGAAGTGCCAGGTCCCCAGATGAGAGGGATGGTGCAACTTGGTCCTTGTTGTGGGAGAAGGAAAGCAGCTTGTTTGCCTCAGAGCCCAGAGGAAGCCTGCTGAGCTGGTGATGAGAAATAAATAGGCATCTCCCTGCTTGCAACAGAGTGTGCTGAGGTGGTTCTGGTGCCAGGTTGCACACGTTGGGCTCCTCTCTTCCCAAGGCCATCAGGCTGGCACTTGGCCACAGCCTCCTCTGCCCTGCCATAGCTGACAAGATCCTCTTGTCTCAGCACCCAGGGCTCCTGACCTCCTGTGCAGCTGTCTTGGTGTGACCACAGGGGAGGTGAGTGTCTTCTGGCACCAGGCAGTCCAGGAGACACAAGTCTGTTCTGCTGCCTGCTGTTAGGAAGGTGAGGTCTGGCATTTTGGCAGGGCTTTGTAATGACACCTCATGGAAAACCAGTTGGATTCCCTCGTAACAAATGGGTGTAGTGGTTTTACACCCTTCTGCTCATCGCAGCTCTGCTCAGTCTCTACTGAGGGTTTGGTTTTCTGCCCCCTTGGCAAAGACCCAAAGGATTGATGGGTTAGTCACCTTCCTTCCACCTTCAGCACAAGGATGGGGGCTGGATAGTTAGTTACACAGGAGAAAGTGTTATCAAAAAGCCAGGAAATGTTCCAGTGGAGTTCAGTGTCCTGGAGTGGTGCTACTTTTTCATGACTAGAAAATACTCACAAAATTTAAGAGTATGTGGCAGCAACTGTTCAAATACAAGCTGGCCTGGCCAGGGAGGCTGCATGCCTCTGGGCAAGGTCCATTGCTGTCCTAGGAATGCCAACAATCACTGTGTGACCCTGTACAGCCACCTCCCCAGAAAATGGGCTGCCTGGGTTTCCAGAGATGATCAGGTTCCTACCACACAGATGTCACTGTTCCTGCAGGCATGTGTCCTGCTCCTCAGGAAAGGAATGTTCTATGGAGCTATGCAAACTGGTTTTCAGCTGGCTGTTTCTGGAAGTGGTAGCAGTGTGCCCCTGGCAGAGCAAAGCTCAGGACAGGCTGGTCTACTGCTGGCCTGGCCTTCTGCACTGCTGGCTGTGAGCTTTCCTGGCTTTATGGCTCATCCACTGGATAAGGGATCCCCTCTGGGGCAGCTCCTGGACTTCAAGACAGGGAGAGCTGAGCTGTTGATGTGTCAGAGCACTGGCAGGGGTTAATGCCCATTGCTCTTCCAAAAAAATCCCCATACCAGCCCACCCTCAGACAAAGAACCCTCTCATTGCAAAGAGTCTAGTTTGCAGCTCAGTCCTTGATTTTTTTCTGGTGTTATTTCTTGTTTGCAAGTGCCCCTCACACCTGCCACTCTCTCCTGGGTAGTTCTCTTCCACTGGGACCAAACCTCTTCTGTTCCTTTTTCTTGCATTATTTTTTCATTTATTTTTTTTTACCTAAACAGTCCAAGTCCTTTAAATCCCTTGCTGGTAGGCATCCTGCCCAGCCTGTGAGTGGTTTCAGCTTCCTTGTGGGATGTAGTTCTCATGTCTCACTGATCCCAGATGATCTGCTTTGCAGTGCACAAGGAATGTGAGACAGGGAAGCAGCAGTGGAATGAGCATCAACCTTCATCAGAGGTGCTTGTGCTTCTCTTGGAAAAGGGAGAATGCACTTCCTGGTAAAGCTGGATACTCCAAGCTGAAATTCATCTACAGCTTTTACAGGAGAATCATGTTTCCTGACTGGAGATGGGGAAACAAGGCTCTTCCAACTTGCCTGTCCCTCCTGCCCTGCTGTGTGTCCCTGGAGAAGGTTGTGGTGTTGGAACAGAGTGAAGGGTGTTCCTCTGCTTTGGGCTGGGCTGGTTGGCTTCTCTTCTGAGCTGCATCTTTGGCTGGTGGCCTGAGGAGGGACTCCAGATCTGCAGCATCACTGGGGGTTTTCCAACCAGACCCTCTTGCTTTTAACCTGGTACAGAGGAAAAATGACCTCAGCTGGATGCTGCTCTGGGACTGCTGAGGATGATGGACTTTTTGTTGTTGGCTTCAGGGCAGGCAGGGTTTGCTCCAGAGGGTGCAGGCTCACTGTGCTGTTTCCAGATGAGGCTGGTCTTGCCAATGAGATTGATTTTGGTGGCTTTCTTCCAAAACAGCATGAATTGGTCAGTATTTAACCTGCAGTTGCTAGCTTGGAGCAGCTGCTGCTTCCTG